TCCACAGAAAACATAGCTGGGATAAGGGTTGTCCTTGTCTCTGAACACAATTTCTGAATTATTTAGCATTTGGCCTTTCTGCTCCAGCAACAGACTCACTCAAAGCTCATCTTGTCTGCTTTTACTTCCTTTTCTTTCATTCTTTCTTAAGCATACCTGCAATTGCTCCTATATATTATTTAGTGGAAATACTAAGCTTTTGTAACATACCTGTGGGTGAAACAGATTCCGCAGGCACAGTTTGCACCTTGTATTCGGAATAATTGGCAGGAAGAAAGAAAATAAGCTGCAGTTCAATACACAGGCTATAAGCATGAAAAACAATAAAAGGAATAGAGAGTTTCCTTTATTTGCCCTTGAATTACTGTATTCTATGCCACAGAAAACCTGAAGGGAATCATCAATAAAACTGTGTCCTAGCAGCCTTTTTCTGTAGCATGTGAGTGATGCAATCAAGACTCCACCACATCATATTTCAAATACTCAGTTGCCCATTGAATGGTAGAATTTTCACCCTTGCGTCCCATATCTTTATTTTAGTTTACTTAAAAGCAATTATGGTACTATGACAGTTTGGTCACATGAAACACATTTGTGTCAGAGCTACCATCAAAGAAGATGAGCAGTAGCAAAGGCAGGAGAAACACGAAAAGATCAAGCGACAATTCACTTGACCCACTGGTGTGTCTAAAAATACCAACTACATTGATCTTAAAGTACAATGCAATATGGGAAGGAAGATTTTCCCATAATGGTGAGCAAACAGAATAAGGAGCCACACATTAATATAACTTATTTTTAAAAAATTAAGAACTTGGACAGAAGGATAACCCTGGGGCAGAAGACCACACATGAACATACATTATACAATTTATCGCACGTGTGATGTTGCATGTCCACTGTTAGATTACTCTGGGACACATGCGCCTGATGACAGCAATCTGGATGATGGGATCAAGTGTACCCTCATGAAGTTTGCTGATGATGCCAAACTGAGCAGGGAGGTGTGCATTTTGGAAGGGAAAGCCATCCTGCAGGAAGACCTGGACAGACTGGAAGGAAAAGTGCATTAACGGGAACCTTATTAAATTCAACAAAGACAAGTGTAAGACCTTGCACCAGGGAAAGCATATTCCAGGAGTGCAGCAAAGGCCAGGATCTACCTAGATCTAGGCTAGAGAGCAGCTCTGTGGAAAGGGACCTCGGAGTGCTGGTGGACAAGCAGATCAGAGTGATTGAGCAGTTGCCACTGTGGCAAAGGAAGTCATGATGAGGAGAATGTCGCTGGTGGAAGTTCAAATGGAGACTCCATTTGGACTCTATTTGTGAATCATCAGTGGCATCACTGGCAGAGATACAGAAGGCACTGTCCCACTCTACTCAGAGACTGTCAGGCCACACCTAGAATACTGTGTTCAGATTTGGTCCCTGCCATGCAAAATGGATGTGGACAGGCTGGAGAAGGACCACAGGGGTGATCAAAGGACTGGGAAGCCTGACATGTGAGGAGAGGCTGAGAGAACTGGGTTTGTTCAGCTTTGAGAAAAGAAGGCTTAGTGGAGACATTATCACCATGTTTCAATATTTAAAGGATGGCTACAGAGAAGATAAAGAATCCTTTTCTACAAGGAGTCACATAGAAAAGATGAGGAGTAATGGGTACAATTTATTCTTCATGAAGTTTTGATTGTTCATGAGAGGACAGTTTTCCACAAGGAGAACAATCGGCCACTGGAATAATCTCCCCAGGGAAGTGGTGGGTTTCCCCAGCATTGGACACTTTTAAGATTTGTCAGGACAGTGTGCTGAGCTTTTTCTAGACTATGTGCTATCACCATGAAAGGTTGGGTCAGACCAGATGATCCTCGAGGTCCTTCCAACCTGGTATTCTCTGACTCTTATGATTCTAGCAACATGACTTACTCATGCACAACTTGCATAAAGCTTGTGGAGGCTCTTGGTGCCAGCCAGGTCTGTGGGTTAACTACGGGAGAGACATGTTATCACAGAAATGTCTTGCAAGGTGTGGACTGTAGGACCCCTTGCAATCCCATGCAGGCTCTCTGGGCTGGACTCCTTGTTTGTTTTGTTTCTCATTCATCTTCCTTCCTTTAAAAGGTGAAAAACTGACACATCTTGCCCCCAGAGGAAGAAGTACATTTTTCGGTGACCACAAGCAACCTGGTCACTGACCACAGTCCCTTCAACTTGCTGTGCTGAACTTCAGCAATGTTGGCTTGTGACATGGAACTGTCATGTGGAGATTATTGCTAGGAAACTGCATCTCCCACAGAGGCACTGGAAGTTCCCCCATGGTCCCAGGGAAGCAGGGATGAATCATGTTTTCCTTCTCAGATAAAGGTGGCTGGAGGGCAGCTCTGTGCTAACGCTGTGATGTGAGGTCTGCGACTGCTTTTGGTTCTGCACACCTCTGAGCAGCCTTTTAGAAGCAAAAACCAACCAATAAGGAAGGTAACTACTGGCTTTGCTGGGACTGCTGGCTGTAATCAGCCACTCTTGCACAGGCAAGTCTGGTAGCTATTACTTCAGCACATTTTTGCCTCTGGCATGTAAAGTTCAAGTGGTGCTGTCTTGCTGAAGAGTTTTCCCATCTTTTAAGGGGTATTTTTTACCCTCTTAGCTGCAGAGGAATGACTTTGCTTCATTTACAAAAGTTGAAATGTAGTAAATACTTTGATGTAAAGGATTTTATGGATTTTCACCCCAGGAAAGGCATTTTGACTAGTCGTATTTCAATGAGACATTAAAAAAACATGCTTGCATGATTTTTTAAAAATCGCTGTTATTACCATTCACACAACAGGTAGTAAAAGCTGATGATACAGAGATTTGTTTTGTACTTTTTAACACAAGATTGGCAGAAAAATTGTCAGTTGGCTCATTGCTCAAGATGCTTTAAATCCACACCCTTGAACTGTGATTCAGCAAATTCCCAGAGAACCCTGGTCTGAAACCCAGGTTCCTCCTTGTCCTGTCCTGCCGGGGGTGGATTTCCCCTAGAGAAGCCAATGAACAACAGCTCATTTATTTATGTATGTGGTGGGGAGGAAACTTGCTCCACCGTCTCCCCACCTCTTCCTGCAAAATGTTAGCTCTCTTTTGCACCAATCACTTCAGGTCGTGAATGAAAATGGAATTGAGCGGCAGCGGGGCTGGAGTATAGAAACTGCTGTTTTCAACATCACTCCCTGGCTCTGCTCCACACCTCATAAATAATACCTCTCACCTAATTTTAGCTACAGAGAGAAGCAAAAGGAATCTGCCTGTGTCTTTCTTCAGCAATCCTAAGGTGCTCTGTCGGAGAGGCAGGACGGAGCACTCTGTCATTAACTGACATCATCGAGGAAATACGCTTGCTTTCTATTTTTTTTTGGCTGCATTTTTTTTGTTTGCCACAGTTGCAGCAGTATCTTGATGGGGAAGCTGATCTCCAAAGGCTGGCAAAAAAGAGATGCTCAAGTTGTCATGCTGGGGCTCGACTTCGCTGGCAAATCCACCCTTCTCTACAAACTGAAGAGTGGCCAGGCTGTGGAGACCTGCCCGACGGTGGGCTTCAACGTGGAGTCTCTGCAAACACCCTGTGGCATGTCTTTCACCCTCTGGGATGTTGGTGGACAAGACAGCCTGCGGGCAAGCTGGCCCGGCTACCTGGAGGACATCAACACCCTCATCTTTGTCATAGACAGCACAGACAAGGCCAGGCTGTCCGAAGCGGTGGCAGCACTGGAGGAAGCCCTGAGCCACCCCAGCATGGCTGGCATCCCCGTCCTCCTCCTGGCCAACAAGCAGGAGGTGCCGGGAGCACTGGCTCCTGCTGAACTGGGGGAGATGCTGCGGCGGGGGCGGCTGGCAGGGCACCGCTGGATGCTCCGAGGGTGCAGCGCCCACACCGGCCAGGGCCTGCAAGAAGTCCTGGCCATCCTGGGAGAGCTGCTGCGGGGCTCAGAGCCGAGCTCCCTATCCCAAGAACAGCCCATCGCAGGGCTGACGGAGAGGAGGGAAGCTCCAGAACAAACCTGAAACTCAAACAGACCCTACCCACTCATCGCTGTTAGCGGCTTTGTCACAAAGGATTTCAGCCTCCAGGCACCCTCTAAAATGAGCTGTAGTTGGGACACACTGTGAAACACCCAGCTGCTCACCACTGAAACCCACCTGGAGAACCTCTGAGTAAAGCTCCCATCATGGACCAGGTTTGACCTCATCTCTTGGACTCTCATCACTGGCTGCAGCTTGTCCCTCTGTCACCGTGTTCTGCTCATCCACCACACACTTGTGTCTGGAGCTTCAGCAGAGATGCTTTTTGCCGGAGCAATATAAATTATATATATATAAATTATAACAGAGACGTGTACAAGGGACAGAAGAGGTTTTCTTCTTTCTTCAGCTCCCAGCCCAGATGCAGCTATCCAGATGGTGTAATTCCCACAGAAGGGGAGCTGCTTCTCTCTCAACATGTTCATTGGCTGGGAAAGCAGGCAGACACTAAAAGGGATGGCTGGATGGGAGTAAACTCAGGATGAGTGTAAACTCAGGACTTCAAATAGCTAAACAGCTAATTGGCTTTAGTGCGGCATCTGTAGGTATAATCTTCAAACCGTGGAAGCAAGTCAGGATTCGATGGTGTATTGCGGTTTGAGGATGTGTACATACTAATTTATGCATTTCTTGTAATGTTTCCTTCTTTTTCCATTCGTTATTTTTGTCAAATACTGATTTCATTACAATGGTGTCTCATTTTCCTATTATATTTAAATATAGAGGAATCAGACCTGACTTTTAGATGCTTACAAATATGTCTGCATGGCCAGTTAACCTCTAAATATCCTCATGGCAGCCTGAACAGCCAAGGAAAACCCTGTCTCTTGGACTTTTTGAATCTGTTTGATCCCACTCCACATGCACTGGTTGGTAACTGTGGGCACCTATGGGCACAGGCAGGTTGGTAACCAAAGGTCTCTCCCCACTCAGTTTCATCTGGGGCAGATGAAAATGCCCCTGGCAGCTCACGACAGGGTCCTGTGTCGCACCGATGGTCTCTGTCCAATCCTGCTCAGCCTACCATTGGAAAAACCTATAAAATATGTGCCCTGTATCCAAAATATTGTTATCCAGGATTAAAATTAAGATATTTCATAGTAGTCTTTGCTTTATTACAAAATGAATAGGGGAAGGGGATAGATAGAACACAAAATTTCCATTTCTGTTTTCCATTTCTGTTTCTATTCAGAAGTCAGCTGCTTTCAAGGAACAACATATTCAACCTAGAAACACCAAGGAGAAATACACAGTGAAACCCTCTTCTGTTCATACCAGAGCATTTAACAGTCGTTAAGGAATTAACCGTCCAGCTGCTACTGGTGCTATTATTAGCCACATTCCACAGAAGACAGCAGCTGGAATAGAGAGCTTAGACAGTCGTGGAGAAACAGAATCAGACATTTATAGGAAGGTCTCAATAAAAGAAATCCTTCCCAATGGAAAAAAGCCACATTTCTGTCAGCTATGTTAATGTAGAGTTATTGTGTGCTATGAAACAGTACTCCAGTGTTGATATGGCCTAAGCAATCATGGTTATGAGGATACTTAAGCAGCACTGAATCGTATAATTAATTATATGACAAATCTCTCTGCATGCTAAGGAGGACAAAGTCACATCTTTAAATCTTTGCAAGTAGCATAAGCTGGTTGATCCACCTTGGGCTTGTTGTAGGTGGTCATTGTTTGCCTCTAACACATCAGGCTGCAAGGCACGTGCTGGATATGAGGCTGTCACAGTCAGGGCAGGCAGGTTTTGCCAGACAACACAAGATGCTCATGCCTAGACAAATTCAGGTCATCAGTGCAACCCAGTTGCCAATACATAAAAAAGCCACATATTCCCTGAAATTCAGGTGGCCCTTTTGAACACCAGTCCTAGAGGCACAATGCAAAAGACTGTGTTGCATTGCCATGCCAAAAAAAAAAATATTCTCCTTATTGATTTTGGTGGTGTTTTGGTCTTGCATCTTACATGGTACAAAACAGAGAATTGTATGTTAGGGCAGGGGATCATCAATGGTTTAAACTCAACACACATTGAAAGGTTGTCCTGGTGATGTTTTACTCTTAAGTGGTTCTTAATGCCTGCATTTGACTCTACAGGATTGTCTGCTGGTGGTTAAAAGAGGCACCAAAGGCTTCCCATTCCCCCATGAGTGTTTTTTAAGCGCTTTATAAAGGGGAAAAATAGGCTACTCTGGCAGCAAATACAGGTAATCACCAGGCTTTGATATATAGCACCAATTAAAAATTACAATAGCAAAGTGGGAGGTGGGGAAGAAGGCGCGGTGGTAACCCTGAGTTTGTCTGAAACTGATGAAGCAATATCCCAGTTACTGAAAGTGTTCTCACTTCCCCTGAAGCACTAATTTGGCAAAACAACCCATCTCATGAGGCATCATGTGATTTACCATCCTTGTTTTCTGGAATAAGGCTTTTCTGGACACTTGGTCACATTACTCAGCCCATTTATGCCATTGTTTAGAGACTGTCAAAACAATGATGGGTCATAATTTCTGAAACAGCAACACAGAATTTACTTCTAATTATTTGTCTTTTCTCCTGCATTGGAAACGTGTTAAAAACAAGTCAATCTAACAAGCACTGCATTGCTCTAATCAAAGGCTTGCAGGACGTTCACCCTACAGCACTTAAGTTGTTCAGTGTCAAAAGTCCTGCCTGGTTCAAAAGGAGCAGCATGGTGGTTTGCAGGAAGCAGCCAGCCCGAGGGAGGGAAGTTTGTTAATACTTTTTCTTGGTAATCCTGCAGGATAGCCTCTGCCACATGGAGTGGTATTAATCCCTTAAACATCTGTCCTTATGGACTTCAGCCAGGAGAGCATCTTCAAACTTAATTTCCATCTTCTGGGGTGTGTGATAGATGTCACAATTTCTGCACCGATTTCTAAAATAGCACAGCTTCTCTCTGAGTAGCAAGCTAAAGAAAAATCCTCAAGACTTTTATTTCAGGATCCTCACAAATTCAAAGTATCCTTTGGCTTATTCACCGCAGAGCCCACTCTTGGTTGATCAAGATTCCCTTTTAGCAGCTTTTCTAGATGGCCAGTCTATCCACTTGCTATCTCTAACACTGGTTGTCTTAAAGCCAAGAGGAGAAGTTTGGATCAGCAAGCAGCAAGCTTCTTCTATTTTCTTTTTCTTTTTTTTTTTCACTCTCTTTGTAAAGCAAAAAGGTTTCTTGGGAATAGTTTTACTCCTGTTTTTTTCCCTCATCACCTTTGTAATAACTTGCATCCTGTTTCTAGACTCTCTTAGTATCTTCCTGCGGCTTCACCAGCAACCTTTAACTGTCCTGGTCAGTATTTAGTTGTTACTATGGTCTGCTTTTCCAGGAACCTGGTGGCCTTGGGCTAAATGTTGTGGCAAAAGCGGCCACCTCATAAGATAGCAAGGTTTGGAAAGGACATCTGGTCCAAAACACTGCTTAAATCAGGTTGCTTGAGGTCTGGAGCAGCAGTTTTGAATGTCTCCGAGATGGAGGTTCAACAACACTTTTAGAGGTGCTCTGGTTTGTCTTAACCTTTACAGTAACATGACCAGAATCCATGATTGTGCATTGATCTTCCCAGACACCACTCCATTGGGATGAGCCACACAGGTAAGCATCTACGCTTGCCCGTAGATGTCAGAGCAGCCTCCTTGCCCAAGGCAATTAGCTCCCCCAACCCTCGCACCTCCCATCCCTTCTCTGCCTTGCAGGGATCACTGCAGTGGGAATTACCTCCACGTCCTGCTGCTTTTTTCGAGGACACTCAGACACTTCAGTCATTTTCACACTGTTTATGAAATAGCATAGCTAATTACTCACTGATTTACTAACATTTCTATAGGGCTGGTTTTTAACGCAGCTTCAACAACCCTTTTCCAGACTACGAACTCAGCACAGATTTATTTTCTAATTCCTGTCAAGAAGTTTTCCATCCACATCCAGTGAGAATGAAAGCAGCAAACTGGAAAAAAAACCACCCCAACCAACACTAAAATCAGTACAGGAAGGATGAGTCACCTTTTCCCCTTCTCCTCACCAGTGCAGGAAGGATGACTCACCTTTTCCCTGGTCACTCCACAACTTCCATTTTTCAGCCAGTCCATGGCACAAAACGTGCATTAGCACATTTCTGCTCTTGGTACCATTGCTTTGTCTTTGGAAGGACCTACATGCCATTTGTCCTGCAGTTACTGATGGAACTTCCCTGATGGGTTTCAGTATTGCTGAAGGGCCTGAGATCAGAGGGGAACCATGAGAACCTGGGTCCGCAGGGCGAGGGCATGAATGGTTGCCAATAAACTATTTAAAGAGGGAACAGTCAGCCACGGGGTGCATGAGAGGCAGCTGTGACCAGCTGTAACATTAGGAGAAGAGTGTAGAGCAGCAGCCAGAGACCTGGGAAGTGCCTGGGCGAAGAAAGGTCAATAAGAATTTTTTTAAAGGCCAAGAAGAGCTTTCTTTTCAAATACAACATGGAAGAAAAGATTCCAATCCCCCCTCCTTTTTTAGGACACAGGCTGTATAATGCAGTATAATGTCTTAATTTTTGCTTAATACACCTGACAGCTGTAAATTAACTACATCCTCTTAAAGAAACCCTGAAATACCCCCTATAAAGATTCGCCACGTATAACTCACCAAGAAAAAACAAGGAGCAAACCGCATGTGATGCCACTTCTTAAAAAAAATCAATACTGTTTCCAAATGGTATTAAAAACCAGTCATGCAATAATGATTATGACAAATGACAAACTACAGTTCAAGACATTTCAGCCTTCAGAGGGTTAATTAACTGGCCTCCATCTAAGCTGTCCAGTACTTGATTTTGTCATGGTGCATTTGTTTGAGTGGCAGCCCTGCGCCTTCCATCTGCATGTTGCTAAAAATGCCAGGTGAAGGCTGGCATTTGGATTAGGACTTCAGCAATGCATCCACATATGGAAGTGCATCATTCCCCCCATCTCGTACTTCACACAATGTGACTTGTATAAAATTCCTACCAAAAGGAAAAAAAAGAAACCAAACAGATAAATTAGCCAACTGCTATGAAAGGCGATATCGATCCAGTATATCCCCCCACTCCGTCTTGCCGCTGCTGCCTCTCTGTGGTCAGACTAGAACAGCAAACCTCTGCTCCAACCCAATCTGGACACTTCTCACCTCCAAAGCTCTAATACTTTAAACCAGACCGGCACCATTAACATCTTGTCTGCTAATTGCTGTGAGAAACAATCTCCCTGGAGCTCCCAGAGCTGATGAACTGTTCCTTAATTCTCCCTTAGGCCTCAGATTTTTATTAGTTTTTTTTGGCCTGTGCTGGC